GAGGTTGTTCCCGGGGTGGTGGCGGCAGGGTGCGGTTGTCCCCGGATTGGTGACGGTGGCGGCGCTTCCCATGCGAACGGGAGCACGGTCGCTTGTGCGAGGGAGGCGGCAGCGCGGGGTGAAGCGTGTCCCGGTGCAGTGTCAGTGTTTGGGAGAAACGAAGGTTTTTAGCGATTTTACAGTGTAGCAAAAGAAATTATGAGTGTGGGGGACGGTGTAGTACGGGGCTGCTCTACTGTGATAAGCGATGTTTTTTTGACTATAATGTGTCGTCTTAGTCCCCCAAGAAGGTCGGTGATGACATCGCCAAGGCCACGGGTGACTGGAAGGGGCTGAGGATCACAGTGAAGCTCACCATCCAGAACAGGCAAGCTCAGGTACTGAACGCCGCAAGGGATGGCTCAGTGGTGCAAGCTGCAGGCACAGAGAGCTCTGCTTGCCCGAACCACGAGCTGAAATCCCGGCAGGGTCGACTCAGCCCTTCATCCTTCCGAGGTGGATAAAATGAGTTCCACACAGCAAGTGTGTGGGGGTCTTCTGGGAAAGACCTTAAAACGCCTGCGTGAGCCTCTGGCTCAAATCCAGCAGCTGTTCTGTGTGTGTGTGAAGCCTGCCTGAAGGTTCCCAGCCTCAGAGTGCTGGAAGATGTGATCAGGTGCACATGTTGATCGTTTATCTTGTTGCAGATAAATTGTTCCTTCTACAGAAATCTGACCAGGAGGAAACTTTTCCAAGCAATATTAGAAATTGAAAAAAAAAAACCTTCTTAACTAATCCTGTAGCCACCCGCCACTATACCTGTCCTGAATTCTGTGGCTGGTATATTCCAGTGGTGAGCTGAGAGGAAGCCCCAGCCCAGGAAGCAGTCCTCTTCTGGTTGTGGGGAGGCCTGTGCCGAAAGGCTGGGAACAAGTTTCTGCACAACAGAAAAGCCACGTGAACTAAGCAAAAACCCAGTGCTTTGGCAATCAGCTTTAAAGGCACTGACTGCTCTGTTGAGTATCTTCACTAGCTGTAGAGGGGGGGGAAATTAATCTCTTTTTGTTTAGATAGAGGTTGTTCCTTCTGCCTCGGCTCTGATTATCAAAGCTCTGAAGGAGCCTCCTCGTGACAGGAAGAAGCAGAAAAACAGTAAGTTTTTGTGTGGCTTTAGTTGGGAATGTCTTTTGGGGTTAAGAAGGGAACAGGTACCTGCCTCTTAGATTATGCAGCATAAATTGGAAAACAAGTGCAGTGGGGCTGTCTCTTGGGCAGCTGGTGTCACTTGAGTGTCAGTACAGGCCTAGTCTGTAAGCCAGCAGAATTCAGGTTCTTGAAAGATGGGGTAGAACAGCCACCCACTGCTCCCTTGTCATGCAGTGACTAGTACAGTCCAGAGGGGAGTGAGCAGAAAATCCCACCTTAGGGAACAGTTATTCCTCTTGTGGGAAACTTTGTGCTGAAGTCTGGGAACAGGCGTGCTGATCGCAGCCCTGCTGTAGTTAACTCTGGTTTCTGTGTGGTCTGAGTGCTGGGAATGGTGCTTTGCTAATGAAGCATGGGGACGTGGGAAGTGCCTGTGGTTACATGGACTGTGCTCTTGCTTTCCTTCAGTTAAGCACAGTGGCAGCGTCAGCTTTGATGAGATAGTGAACATTGCACGGCAGATGCGGCACAGATCCCTGGCTCGAGAGCTCTCGGGTGAGTGCTGGGGTTGCTCTGAGTGCTGGAGCCAGGTTCTGGTTTAATTTTGATTCCTGGGAGGGCCCCATTGCTGTGGGATGCTGGTGGAACTCCATGTGCAGCTGGGCCACGTGGGCACTGAGCACCACAGGAACAGCCTTGTGCTGGCTTCTCACAGCCAGTTCTTAACCTTCTGGGGAAGGTCATGCAGGATGGTAAAAGGTACATGTGGCACTTTCTGGTGCATTCCTGGAAACAGTACGCTAGGCCTAGCTTAAGTTGCTTGCCATCTCCTGCTGTGGCTGCAGCCTGCAAACCCCAGAGGGCTGGAGGCCCAGCTGAGGGGTGTGAAGAGTCAAGTTCTCTGTTCTTCAAAGATTTTTTTTTTTTTCCCCTGTGGTAAAGCACTGACAAGCTGTGTCTTCTCACTGCAGGGACCATCAAGGAGATTCTTGGAACTGCCCAGTCTGTGGGCTGCAGCATTGATGGCAGGCACCCACATGATATCATTGATGACATCAATAATGGTGCAATTGAGTGCCCAGCTGTAAGTACCCATCTCTGACTGAAACCTGCTGTATTAGACTATTTACTAAAAGACTCTACTAATGAGCTGTATTTGCTTCTTTCAACAGAGCTAAGACTGCAGAAAAGAAGTTGCTGTATGAAGGCTCCTTAAGTGTTTTATAGCACCTTAAGTACCTAATAAAAGACCCAGTTGTCTGCAAAGCATTGCTGGCTCAATTTGTCCGTGTCCCATGCTGCATGAATAGCAGGTTTTGGCTGGGGACGACCTGCCCAAAGGGATGGTTCTTATACAGACTTTAAAGCAGATTTCCTATTTGCTGCCCTGAAATCACTTGCAGCAACACTACAGTTTAGAGAAGTGGAATTGCCTCAAGCTAACACTCCAGTAAGGAGCAGATACTGCTAACATGTGCCTGTGTAAAGGTTTGTGGGCTCTGTTCTTGTAAGTGCTGAACATGCAGCTTGGAGCTGCAGGTGTTGCCCTGCATTAAAGTGCTGTAGTGACAGGTCCTGTATCCCCTGAACCACTGCAGCTGGGACACAAGCACATTTTGAGGCTTGAAAGTAACTTTCCAGGCTGCTTGCCTCTTGACAGGGTCCTAGAGTGACCATGTGGGCTTGTGGGATGGGAGGGCTCTGACTAGTCCTTGTTGGAAATGGTATCCAAGGCGTGGCTATTCAGTGAGCATTCCAGGGCCTGGAGGATAGCGTTGTGTGCCTGGCAGAGCACACCTTGCCCTTTCTTCTAGCCCTTTATTACCCAGAGGAACCTCTGGCCTTGGTGGCATTCTGGGTTTTCTATTGTAGAGCGGATGGGATTCTTTGCTCAGCTTTTTCTCCTGCCTCAAAGCAGAGAACACTGGATTTTCTTCTTGTGAATGGGACAAGCACACATGTTCTAGTTAGAGATGGATTTCTTTTGTGCTTTATTTCATCACTGAAGAGGAGCGAGTTTTGATTGTGGGTGGGGTCCTGAGGTCCTCTCTGCTTCAGAGAGTTATCAAGGGCCCAGTCTCATGTTTCTTGGGTCTCCTGGTTCCTTGAACAGTGACACTGGGGGAGCAGGGTAAGCAAGCCCTGTAGTCCCTTTGCATCATAATTCAGTGCCTGGTGCATTCACTGGAAGGAAAAGCAGTTTAAGTATTGGCAAAAGTGCCCTTTGTGTGGGCATTCTGTAAATCCAGTGCTATTGCTTGTCAAGAAATGGTGTCTAGAACCTGGCTGAGCCACAGATCTCCTGTTTAGCAGTGAGTATTTTGCCTGCTTCTGATAATTGCTGCACCCTGCAGGGATGGCTGCTGCTCACAGACAAAAGGAGTTTGCCCCACTAATGGCACCTTCCTGAAGGAAAGGCAGCTTGCTTCCTCAAGACAGAAAACCTGTTGGTCAGAGGAGTCTGTCCCTGTTATGGTAGGGATGCAAGTACAGCTCTTGAAAAGCATGGTGAGGAGAGATAGAAGGTTTAGCCTTGCCTATTCAAAAAGCTTTTCTGGCAAAACCCTGAAGGAGAGCCTTGCAAATGCCATCTTGGGGATCTCAACCAATGAGGATGTGAAGAGCCTAAGCTCAGCTATAGCACATTTACTTATTTAACCTCTAGAGAGGTTACTGTGTGTTTCAGGCTTGATGCTTGAAATCATTGTACTTTGCAGTATTTGACACTTTTCTTACACATGCAAGCTCTGCCCAGCTGTCAGTGGTACAGCTGGGGAGTGTGGATAGAACCAAAAGTTCTCCAGAGATCCTGGGGAAACCTTGTCCTATTTTCAGCAAAGACTGGATTTTTCCCTCAGGGTGGCACAGTGCAAGAGAAGATGTGTGCTTCTTTCAGGTTGTGGAAAGCTCCATTAGCAGTGAAGTGAATTTTATCTTGGTAGTAAAAACGCTTTTGCTGACTGAGGTATTGCTAAAATCCCTGTTAGCAGCAGCATTAACGTTGCAGTTTACTTCAGCCCTAACAGAGTGGCCTGGAAAAAAAATCTTAATGTAAGTCTATTTTTTCCAAAGGTCTCAAATGTTCTGCAAAGTGTTTTCCTCTGCAAGGTGGTGACAGTACTTCATCAATTTTCTTTTTGCCAGTGTCTTCAATTTTGCAAATACTCCTCAAAGTTATTCTTACAGGACACTACAGCCCCAGAGGAACACTCCCTGTCTGGAGCTCTGCTGTAGTGAGCAGAACTCTAAAGCAGCGTGCACTGTAGGAATTGGGGGAGGAAAAAAATAGTTCTGCTACTACTTCTAGGGGTGTGTAGGAGGATGCGGTATATGCACTATCAGGTCTGCTAAAATTTGTTAAATGGGTCTGGATTATTTACCAGGGTCTGCTTGAGTCCTTTGTAGGAAGAAGCCAGTGCAGCAGGAGGGTGAAGTTGGTTGCAGAGGGGAATTTGCTGCTGCTGTGTGACATACCAGGTGTGAAAGCTGAATGAGCTGGATGAGGATTCTGTAGAGAACTCAAGTCTCCAAGTAAATTCCATCCCAAACTGAATGGGAGGAGGCATGCACCTATAGTAATGTTTATTTCTAATATACATGCAAGTAATGTGTTATTTTCTAATATACAAGGCAATACAATTCCTAAGCAGCTGTAGTTGAAGGCTGCTTAGATGCAGAGCAATTGTGAGCTGGCTTGTGAAACTAAACCTTAGTGTTTGCTCTAGCTTAAGCCAGGAGCACATGGCTTGGGCTAAGTCTTCAGTGCAGAGTCACGCCCTAGGAATGTATCTTGTACTGCTTGTGAAGCATAAAATGTACTTTGGGTTAGCAGTGGGATCTTTAGAAACCACCTGTATTTGCACATGATTTAACAACAAAGTTCTGCTTTGACAAGACTTCAATTTCCTCTCTGCTCTGCTTCTGTTGAAGTACCTACTAGTGAAGCAGGTAAAACTTCATGAAGGTGGATCCTGGGAAAGAAGTCTCCTAGCTTGTTGTTGCAAGATCCAAGACGCCAGGTCAGCACCAAGGCCAGCCAAAAGAAACTGCGAATCATGGCAGTTTTCCACCATGGTCCTGCTGTCTGAAATGTTTAATGAAGCAACAACTCTGTAATTTTGCATTGAGCTCATGGCCAGGAGGGAGTTGCTGGGATCTTTGGGGAAAGGCTGGGCTGGCAGTTTAGCAGAGGGTAAGTGGCTGCCGGAGGGGATGGGCAGGTGGAGGAGTTTGGGCTGACCAGTGCGTTTATGATTTCTGAGAAGATCCACTTTTGTTCTTTGTTCCCTGATGAAATGTGGGTACATTGCCCTGGTGATGTGAGGGCCATGGAGATTGAGGACTGTAGTGAAACAGTGAAAGGCATGATGAAAATACATATTAATTTTTATGAAATCAATAGCCATGGCAGACACCAGTTTTACAGCACATCCCAACACATGACTGTCAGTGTGGAGGGAGCAGCTGGGCCCTCTTACTAAAGCAAAAATGACCAAAGCCTGACCCATGTGTCCCCAGAAATTGCAATTCCCTGTGGAACCTGTGAGGTTTTGCCTATAAACTGTTATGGATCTGGCTGTTCCTTTATAGCATGGCCTGTATCTTGGGCAGCTCTGCCTGTGGTCCAGGCCCTCGCTGGCCTGTCCTAGCTGTGCAGCCTCTTCAGCTGGTAGCAGCAGAAAGCAGGAGAGTTTGTGGCTTTGCTCTTTTGCTTGCTTTTTTTCCCCCCTGTTGTTTGTAGGACTTTTCTGAGGCAACCAGGGGATAAAAGAGAAACGTGGCTGAAATCCCAGCCACTTGCCATCTTGAATTCCTTGGTTTGGAGTTGACCGTGTTTCAAGCTAGGCACGCTGCTTGGGTGCCCTGACCCAGGGTCAGGTGTGGTTCCCCGTGCTCTGTACCCTGCCACCTTCCCCACCTCTCAAAGGACTTGGGTTCAGCAAATTCTGGTAAGGTATAGGGGGGGAAGAAATCTGTGGTGAGTGGTCACAGGCTGCAATGGGGACATTGTGGGGTGGTGGGATCTCTGTCCTTGGAGATACACAAAGCTCAGCCTGATGCTGTCCTAGGCAAGCTGGCCTGCCTGTGTGCTGGGCAGATGGTTGGGTCCCTTCCAGCCAAAGTTATGCAGGGATTCTACGACAAAGCGGAAGTGTTTACACTGCCTGAGGTAGGAAAGCCTGGCAGAGGACTGCTGCACCCCTTTCAGCAGCAATTTTTGTTTAAAAAGGCTTAAAGTGTTTATTGACCCCTCCACTTTGGTGTGAACCCTGAGAGGCTCAGGAGCTGTCGGCCTCATGAGTACCCAGGGCTGTCTTCTGTACCAAGACACATATGCTGTGGGTATTCCCCCACTTGGCAGTGCTGAAAATATTTTAAAAAAAGGATTTATTTTGCTTAGGAGCAATTCTCTTGGGGCAAGATACATAACCTTTCCCATGCTACCTTAGGGCATGTGTTCTTGTAGAAGCAGTGTAGTGCTTGGAAGTACGGCTCTGCCAGTCATTCATTTTTTCCAAATCAGGCTTCTTAAAAAGGAGGCAAAGGGCTTGGTAAAATAACAACCTACATTAACTTCACATTTAAAATCCATCTCGTTCGTAACTGGGTTCCTACTCTGGTGACCTGGACCTTCAGGAGAAAGGAGGGAAGGGGACACTGAGGAGCACTGAACCCTTCCCAGGAGACCTTTGCTCTGATGTCATAAGGGCTTTGTGCACTTTGAGGAGAATGAGCTTTCTCATTTCCCCGAGACAAAATGGGCCTTTAAAAAGCCAAATCTTGGGGATTCATGCCTTCCTGTGTTACAAAACATTAAGACAGACAATCTAAACTTTGTTATAGTCTGATGTAGGGTACTGAAGGCTTTGCAAAGGGCGGGGAGCTGGTCTCCATCCATTGCCTCTGGCCACATCTGTGGCCTCGGGAACACGGTGCCCTTCTGCAACGTCCCTGAGGGCAGGGACCACGTGGAGTGGGTGGCATGGGAAGCACAGAGGGTGTCAAAAGGGGTGGAAAAAGGCCCAAATAGGAAAGGGATGTTTTTCTGGCATAAAGGTAGGGAGAACCCTGCTTTCTGGAGGACCTGTAGGCAGGACCTTTGACTGGAAACAGGGCTGACTTCCACGGTGGGCTTCCGAGCGCTTCATCACCCTTCCTGGGGGTCAGGCAGGCTGGTGTCCCAAATGCCAACAGCAAACTTCCAAAACACAGGTAATCTGGGCTGAAATCACGAACCCATATTGCTGTGATGCCCTCATGTACCCATGCACAGCCCCGAATAACCCCCGGTGCTGAAGGGGCTGACAGTAAACTGCTCCTGAGACAAGCCCTTCCCCACAGGGTGGTTTCAGTAGCGTTTTGTGAGACCCCAGGGCAGCCGGGGCTGGTTGCCTTCCCCAGCCAGGGCCTGACAAGTCTGGGCACCGTGGCCCACACCTTGGATCTCCCTAACACCCCCAGGCAAACCTCAAAGCACATCCCCATCACGGGCATTGCTCTGATTTTCTCCTTGGCCCAATCTTTTCTCCCCACCTGCTGAATAAGAACCCCCTGATTTTTGCTCAGTGGTTCCAAAAGAGCGGGGTTGTGAGGAATCAGAGCACTTCCCACCCTGAGTGAAGGCCCTGTGTGCTGTGAGAGGTGACTTTTACCAGGTCGCTTGTCTTCCTCATTTGAGCAGGACATGACATGCTGAACACAAAAAACCCAGCTTTTGGCAATACCATGGGCTTTTTTTTTTTCTTGCAGATGTATGGCCACAATTGTGAAAAGCCACAATCAAAAAACTTAAGTGATCCCCTGATAAATCAATGTATATGTGCATTAATTCACTGCACGTTCCTTTCCAATTAACAATTAATTCTGAGAATATTTTTTCCCTTTAAAAAGCAAAACATTCTTTTTACCACCTGTTTCAAATTCAATGACTCAATTGGCTTTTTCATGAAACACAATTATCCTTGCCCATCCTGTTGCAAAGCTTCACCTCTCTGGTTCACCACTGTGCCAAAAGAGATCAGGTTTGTGCCCAAATTGTGGGGTGCCGTGCTTGTAGAGTTGGGTATTCCCTATATCTTGCGGGTCAATGTGCTGCTCCAAATAACATTGTGTGTTTAATTTCCGTGGTCCACCATTACAGCCTGAAGATGCACCTCTCTTCTGTGGGGCTGCTCCATCACGGGGATGAAAGATTCAGAAAAGTTTTCCAAGATTCAGCTTTAGATTTAACGTTTGTCTTGTTTCTAGCAGTGGGTTAAACCCACTGTCCTTGTTGTTCATTGTCCTTCAAGACACAGTCGTCCTATTCTGCCCTAGAGATTTGTAATTCTGTACCTAGGAAGCTCCTTTATCAGCGCTCCTTGCCTGATTTACCCGTTTCTTTGCATTTTGAGTTCCCTCTGTTACAACTTCCAAGCGCTGGCTGAAGAAGCCAACGTGTCCATCAAGCTAACGCTGCACCTCCTGATGCATCTGTCGACGCGCTCGGCTCCGGCTGCGGTTTGGGGAGGGAAAGCTCTGCCAATCCCTTTCCCCGAGTTTTGTGAGAAAAGGATCAACTTCTCGGTGTTGGCAGTTTTTGCTGTCGTTGAGCTGTTGTCGCAGCTGCATCCCGGCAGTCGCCGTACCCCATCCTGCCCACGCGAGGACCGAACTGCCCAAGAGCGAAATGTCCCCGGAGCCCCGACTGCAGCCCCCGACTCCTTCCCCCGCGCCGTGCCGGGGTGTCGCGGGGAGACCCGGCCCCGGGGGCCCCACACCCGCCGCGCTGCCCGGGGTTCGGGGGAGGGGCGGGCAGCGGCGTTTATCGCGACTGGTGAATACAGCAC